ACTTGTGTATATATATGAATGCGTGTACTTGCAACAATACTGCAAACAATTCAGCCAACATTCTGAAGGCTTCACTTCAAAAATATTTCGCTTGACATTTTAGCACATGTAAGCCACATCAACTACGCAAACGCACGCGTGCACACGTGTAATAAACACTAGAGCGACAACCACAACAACAACAACAACAACAACAACAACAATTCAAATATCAAACATATGTTTGCTGTCTTGCACTTTATAGCAACGGCTGCGGCATGCGTCACTGCCACTTACCGGCACCAAAGCAAGGCTCAAGACAATCAGCCAGCTAACCAACTAACTAACTACATAATTGCAGCGCGCGGCAATGGCGTCGTGTTGCACATCGCGCTGCGTCGCATCGAGTTACTAACTTAACTCGCTTAACGATGAGCCGCCACAGATATGAGACGAGCGAGCTGTGTGCATAGTTGGTGCGGCAACGCACACGCGCTGTCAGCTGCGGCATGCAACTGCCGCTTGTTTGCCGTTGTTGTTGTTGTCGCTTCATTTGCTACTTGTTGTTGCTTTGTTGGCGGCGGAATGCGCGTTAGTGCGGCGTGCAATTTATGTGCGTTTAGACGCATATTTTGCCAATTAAATATTGCGTTGTGGCATGCAGCCGTTTGTGGCATGCAACAGTGGCCGAACATACGCGCCCGGCTTCAAAGTAGCAGTAATGGAAGGTGCGTCGTACTCTGTACAACGCACAAAAGCCACTGTATACATAGAGCTAGACTGGTGCCAGGCTTGCAAAAGAGTGACGTGCGTCTGGGCCATCCGTGTGGCAATGTAGCCCGCGCACCACTCACCGCTTGTCGCCCACCATCTGGGTCGTGTACTCTGATGCGCTGTGAACGCTGATGCTTTGTTGCTGATAGTTGACTTTGGTGCTGGCTGGCATTATGCTTATTTTTGTTGTTATTGTTGTTTTTTGTATTGATGCAGCATCGTTGCCACAATGCGATTTTATACGCGTTGATGGTCAAGCAGTTGCATGGACAGTTGCCGTATTGCGCAACGCAATTTTTCGCCAACATACGCTCACACACACACACACACAATCATGCCACATAGTAGTAGTTGATGTTGTTGTTAGTGGATTTCCATTTCGTAGCCGCAAATTGACATCTTTCAATTAAAAGTGGTCGGCTTGCAGGCTACGCTAGCATCAACAGCTGTTTGTTGTTGTATTTAAGCATTTTTTTGTTGTTGTTATTTTTTTTGCAACCATTGCAATGTTGCATATATGCAAAATATGCTGTCGCTCTTTGTTGCACCAAAAATGGCAACAATTGCCTAGCAAGTACATTAAAAGCCGCAACATAGTGGCCACAACTGCAACAACAACAATCTGATTCGCACTAACAACAATAACAACAACAGTGACATTTAAAAAGAGAAAAACCTACAAAAACGGTAGCTGTGACAGTGACAATCCATTGCAAGCGGCTCAAAACGCAGGCGGCTACAATGTGGCAATGTGGCATGCAACTAGGCAAAACAGCCAAAAACACTCTGTCGCATGTCAAATTGTAAATTTGTGACAATTGACAAACATTTGACAATCATGCCGACGGCTGTTGGTGGTTACAGCAATTGCAATTGCAACTGTAACTGCACACGCTCATGCAACGCTGCTCAGTGTATGTGTGTGTGTGTGTGTGTGCGCTCGCTCAAATTTGGCTGCGTGCAATTGCGTGTTGCTGGCATTACATTTGCATTTCAAAGCGTTTGACCATTAGATGTTGCAGCATTAGCTGCCACAACAACAACAATAACAACCAATTGCAACCACAACAATAACTGCATGCACACATACACACAGTCGTTCAGCCACATCCATTCACTCATTTGACAGTTTGTCATTGTTGCGGCAGTTGCAACATTGTGCTACTTGGTTGGTTGCTTGGCGATTCCAACTCCTGATAGCCAAATTTGGTGTTAGCTTGTTTTCAAAATTTTGTAATTTTTAAGTGTTGCCATATTTTGAGCTGTGTTCTATATTTGTGGTGTGTGCTGGAGATATTTGTGTCACACTTTTGCTGACCAACAGCTGGTAGTTAGTCTTTTTATTGGTGGCAGGTGTGCAGTTGTACTTATCTCTTACCATCTTAAGCCCCAACAACGATAAAGGGCATTGACCAGTGCTTCCAGCTGACATTAGCAGTAATTACGGAATCGATATATTCTTTACTGTTACGAATCCTCTATTGAGAAATGTAGTAAAAAACCTTAAGAAATCTGAAATCCCGTTGTGAATACCGGGAGTTACTGATGGGTCCATAAATATTGAGTAATGCCAATTGCACTGGGATGTTTCCGTGAACTGTTTCCCTTTTTCTCATTAAAAAATTTGTTTTAAACCTGATCGAATTCGTAACAATTTTGACCCCGAATATCCCTAGCCGCTTCTTGACAGGCTTTAATAACCGTACATACATATGTATTTTGGTCATAAATCACAGCTTGTTCCCTTAGGTAATGACAAATTATCTCCTAAGATTCCGCATTAGTACAAGCGCAGTAGCTGTTTAACTCTATTTTAACTGAATCGCCCAAAATAATAATACACTATTTTATTGCATTACCTAGAAATAAATTCAATTAGCCTGACATTTCTTACAAAAAATTACCTACTGAAAATATACTCTGATGCGGCATGGAATAACCAGTGCATTTCTTGGATTTTTATGCGCTTAACTATATCATTGTCGTCGTAGAGCTCATACAGTTCGTTTTTCTACCTTTTCCGATATTTATCTCTCACGCGGACAGCTCCAAAGACATTGCGAAGAACAGTTCTCTCGAATGCTTCCTCATCTCGGTTCGTCATCGTTGATGTGTCAATTAGTCTAAGTGGAGCTAATGCTCTATCTAATATGAAGTTATATAATTTTAGAAGCTAATCACTTCTCTGTTCGCTATCGTGCTCTCGTTTTCTCTCTTCTGACCGACTAGTTCAGTTGACTTAAGTCCAGCAACAGTGATTCGAAGAAAACGAATGGGCCTTTTCGTTAAACAAATATTAAATTTTACGAGCTGACTAAACATGGAATATATTTTGTGTTGTAAATATTTGGATGCCACTATCTTTCACTCTCTCTCTCTCTCTCTGATTGAGATAACAATATGCATTTTCAGGAAGCTGGAATATCCCCACAAGTCCCTGACAAATCTTAAATCTTATCGTATGAGCTCGAGGCGAATCCACTAAAGATCTACAGTAGACATCCTTTCTGAAGTTGAGCTCGAATTGATACTTATGTATATGGTATAGTATATTGCTATGATTAAGTTCATGAGGCCATCAGCAAATATTACTTCCAAGAAGGCCCGCAGCTCCGCCAGCAAACTTTCTGAAGATCTTGCCGCCTCGATATTAGTGAAGGAACGGGTTAACTACACATTGTATAGTATATATATAACTGGTCTCGTTAAAGGTTATGACTCATCCAGCATTACTAGTTTAAAAAAACAAATGAGAAGCGATATTGGGTAAACATAATCTTTGTTCCCGCCTCATTCGTGGCTCCTATCAACATTTGTTCAATATTTCTTTTATCGAAACAAATTTTTTTCTTTGATGTGGTAATTTCTTAAGATAAGGTAAATTTCTTTCAAAGCCGAGCACATTTCTCCATTTGCAACATACACAAAATATAGGTATTTCTCACTACGTTGTGACAATTATCTAATTTTTAGACCACCATAACATTACCTAACTAATATGTACCGCCTTGCCATGTTTTTACACCTGGCTACACATATGCGCAATTATATGGATGTCCAGCGATTTAATTTCACGTTAATTAGTTGCTAATCTATTTTCGATATTTTCTATTTATTATGGCGTATCAAACGATTTCAATATACATATGTGTAATTAAAAATTTTCCGTATTACAACTTGGGCGGTCGATAACCCATTTCCTTCGAATGCATCTGGATGTGCAGTGCGAGAAAGTTGGAGCAAGACACATCAACTCCTTTTTATAACATATATATATGCACATCGAAAATAAATATATAGCAATTAAGCGGTAGAACGGATATTGATCGAGTAATAGCAGGCGCAGCCAACTAGAACAACAACAGTTCTGTCGCATTTTGTCACACGACAATGAACTATTGGCGGCAAGTTCAAAGCTGGAATAGAAATTGTGTAAAATTATTATGTGATTTAATTCAAAAAATTAGCATGGGAAGTATTCTGGACCTTTTATTGTTGATGTTGCGATTTAATAATTTTTTCTTTTACAATTAAATAGTATTTGGTACCGGACCACGTTTACGTGCATTTTTTGTATTACTCTATTTGTGCTTTTGTTTATGAAAGTCTTTAAGTTTGCCATCATGTGAACCGTCGAAATAATTCTACTGTATATATCACTAAAAGGTTTTAATATGAACTTTAGGTTTCTTTAATAATGCTTCTTTGAAATTTTAGTTCTAATGAACTCTTTAAGTTTATATTGCAAATTGCGGAACCATCCTATACCTCAGCATCAAATCAAGGCAGTATTTCCTTTTCAATTTCTTTTTGAGCTACGCTCTTCGACTACTTAGCGATTGTGTTTTCATATTTCTCTTTTCGTGCATTTTAGAATATTGACAGTTTTTAGCCGAACTCTTGTACTTTGACGATTCTCTGATGGATGCGTACGACGGTTCCCTATATTTGTATTTTATGAGAGAGGTATAATTATAGTGATATTTTTTCCAAAGATAGTACATGTCCTATGAACATACAATACCCGTTAGTAAAAGTAAAAGGGAGGCCTTATAATCTCACATCATCAATACCAGTGAAAAAATTTCGGCATTCCCAGTTTGTGCAACAAAACTCTTATTCAACTTCATCGCATCGATTTATTTACAGTGATTTATCCGGATGGTTAAGCGTGTTATGAGTTATACCGCTGAGTGATATTTTCATCTGAATTTCTGCTAGAAATGTAAACCTAAACTCGTTAGATCTACAGTTTGAAAAAATCTGCTTTATTCCGAAGAAAATCGAACAATATAGGATCATATTCATACTCTAACTACGTAACGGCTTAACAATGCTGATTAGCTCTAATTTACGCATACAAAAATTTATTTTTATAGCATATAAATATATCCGAATACCATCGCAACACATTTTGCACCAAAGCTCACATAAAGCGCTCATTCATAATTCCCCATAATTTCAGCGACCCATTGTTTTCATATGTATTGTACATATCCACTTACTACTTCAACGTCATGAAATGCAAAAAAGAAGAAACAACACAATAATATCCCACCTAAGCAATTGCAGAATATAAATCCAGATTTACTTACTCAAGAGCAGCGAGAAAATTGCTTTCATTGCATTAATAGCGCGGCGTGTCGTGTCGCGGTACGGCCTACTGGTCTATTAACTGACGCCGTTGACTCCATTAAATTGCAAACGAAATGGTCAAATGGCAGTCAATTTCATAAATCTTTCAATAAAAGCTGCGAAACACAATAGCAACAACAACGCCAACACTAGATGGCAACGAATGGAAAAAATAATGTGAGGAATAACTAAAGGCAACTAAAAGCGCACAGAAGTCGAATTGAAGTGGACAGCAGAATGCCTGGCGTTAATTGACACCAACATATGAGTGGATACGGCGGCATATATACCTATATATATATACCTATGGAGAATACATATAGTTTTGGTAACCCAGCTGGAAAGCAGTCATTGCATATTTCTTGCGTTGATAAAACATACAAATGTGAAATGATTGTTGTTCGGATCGTTTCAACGTGGATTTATATGTAGGAAACATCGGGCATCAAATAGAAATATTTGAACTTTCGATTCCTGGAGTAACACAAACGAATGATGCGCAGATTTCATCGGGTATTAATAACGAATGTGTCTAGTATAATCGATCGATCGCCCACTTGATTACCATTGCTCAGTTTTCTCTGCTGGGTACTTTTTTTGACGACTTTATGTAAGAAATTGCGCGTTAATGCGCAGCAATGCTTGTCAACAATAGAAAATCGCACGATCAGCGATATGAAAAAGAATTGCGAAGCACGGATAGAGCGAAGTGCGAATTGAGGCATACATTTTAGGCATTTTTGCGATGTGTACACTTAAAGGGTGTACGAGTAAATACGAAGCAGAGACTGAATTTATAGTTATATCATCGTGTTTAAATAAAAGGTTATATCCAGAGCAGATTAATAAAAAACTCTGGTATATGAAAGGTAAAACGTTTTAGGTTCCACTCGGGACCAGAGAGCTTTCGCAACCCCACAAGTGCTGGTTGCTGACAACCCTTGGAGAGCACAAAGATAGGGGCACCCCTGCTTGTTCGTAGGGTATGGATGCCTTTTCTTGCAAGCTCATCGACTTTACAATTTTCGAGGATTCCACTGTGGCCAGGCACCCAGACAAGTTTATATGGAAGTAGCTTGATGTTACTTTCGATAAATATTGCTTTGGGATAAAATTATGATAACTTTTAAGCGAAAGATTGCATCAGTAGCTTAACTCAATAATTGAAAGAGAGAAAAGGGTGAACGACTCTCACCGAATGCGGTTTAAGGAGGGCTTATTGGATAAAAAATATGAAATGTTTTCAAAAGGTTGTTGATATAAATATATTTGGGGAATATTTAGTGTAAAGTTACACACCAGGTAAACAGTTTTACGAGTCTTGAGAATCAATATTGTGAAATATATACATATTAATCTCAATAGAGTTAAACTTTTATTAAACCGACTCACCATCCCCAAATAGCTGATGAATGTTTGGAAACACGCCAATAATTTTACTTTCCCACACACTGTAATGCCACGGAGATCAATGGCAGAAAGCCGAACGTGCAGCTTCGTGCGTAAATTGCGCATGCCAACTGGGCGGTGTGCGAATGAACGGAAGCACTTGCTCGTAGATTGGTGTTTTGTGCCACTGCCACAGAGAAAATGCCGCCACAAATGGGACATGGACAACAACTGCAACTAAATCACAAACAAAAGTGTGTAAAAAGAAGAAGTAAAAAAATGACAACAACAATAACAATCGTCTTTAAAGTGCAAAGCAATCGTGTGGCAAGTGCAACAGAGCGGCGATTAAATGAAAATTTACGTATGTAAGATGGACAGCGGGTTCATATGTACGTGGCTCTATACATAAGCTTTATCATTCGTAGCTTCCAGCTGCCACAGCAGCAGCAATCATACTACAGCTAGCAACAACAAAGCCACAAACAATAAAATTGAGCAGCTCAGCAATTACAGAATTGTCTGCAACATTGTATTTTTTTGTTTTTTTTTTTACCAAGACTATCGGCATTACATACGTTTGAATAGGAAAATCAGTGCAGTGCGATCAACATTGCGATCGACGATCAACAGTTGGCGATCAGCGGAGATCAGCGATTGCGAATGGCAGATAGTATTGCCGCGTTGATATGCGTTGCGATTCGATTAAATGTATGTGATCGCTGGTTACGCCCGCCCGACAGCAACAACAGCAATGGGAAGCCGGTATAACTCTTGCCGAACAACTGTATACTTACTCACTTACCTAATACGAGGGTATTTACCATTGTAGATCACTTTTGCCGCCGCAAAAACAACTGTCATACAAGCAATAAGATATATTTTCACGTGGCATTTAGTGTCGCACTGTTGTAGTGGAAAGGGTTCGAGGCTGAGAGTGAGTAAAATGGATAAAAAGTAGAAAGTGTAAGCGTTGCCAGGATTACCATGCGATTTTAGGGTTTCATGGGGTAGATAATTTGGAGATGTATTTACTCAACACACTCGGTGCCATAATACTATATGTAGCATGCCTCTAGTTAGTGATATATAAAGTACTTCACACGGATACCTCGCATAAATTTGGACACTTGAAGAGAGATTGCCTAAATGCTTCCTATTTCATGAGGTAAGAATCAAAGCTATTACCCTAGATCTGTCTAAGCTTGCCCGTAAAACAAATCGAACTCATCTGTAAGCATAACATTTAATGTCAGTCGGCTCTATGAAATAGCGAAAAATTTTGATATAATGCATCTGGAAAGTCTTGAATTAAAGGAAATTATATATTTAAACGTTTCGTCGGTTCTGAATCCAGCCGAAACTATCTCGTATGATTTCTCAACTAATGCCCCTAAACTATTTGGCTTCCAACTAGGAATCTAAATTTTTTCAAAATTTACTTAGGTGGAAAAAGAAACTACGTAAACGAGTCGTATTTTCACTTTCTTGAAAATCTATGTCCCCTCAGAGTTACATGGGAAAGGAAAGCTTTATAACAATCTGGGATCTATTAAAGAAGTTTCATTTTTTTCATGCGATATAAAATAACTGGATATAAATCTCAAGTTACAGTCCATAGCAATTGTAATTCAATTACTCCTCTGGATAGGTCTTCTTGATGTCTCTCTTAAGACATGCTGTTGCCTGTTCTCGAGAGGAATAGTCGGAAAATAGTGTGAAATTCTCACTAGAGTATGACTACATCTCACTTTTGAACCGATTGACCCCATGTTGTACTCTCTGTTCTCTTCGATTAAGGAAGCTTCAATTTTTTCAAGGGATATAATATAACAAGATATAAACCTCAAAAAATACAGCCTATAACAATGGTAATTCTATTACTCTTCTGGATGGGTCTCTCTGCTCTTTCTGATACCCCTCTGAAGGGAGAGCGCTGCGTGCTTTAGAGAGGAATGCTCGGAAAAAAGGGTGGAATTCTGACAAGAGTAGGACTTTATCTTATTTTTGAATCGATTGACCCCATTTTGTACTCTCTCTTCGTAATCGTCTTTCCTCAGCCGATGCCAAGAAAATGTTGTTAATATTATAATATGCACACTTGGCAATCTCTCTCCTCATCCATTGACCACAAAGTTGCCGCAGCGCAGCGCAGCTTGTATGGCTACCGAGGGCTCCCTGCGGACTCATTTGGCGACTCGAGCTGTGCGTTTGTGACACAAACATGGACACAGAAGCATAAGCGTTTATGCAACAGATTCGAATTGTTGTTGTAGCACATATTTCTTTTTTCAATTTTTTTTGTTGGCGTTACGATGCATGTAAGCGTTCGCTTTGTATGGCCGTAAATCGACACTTTAGCATAATCGATTGCCGGTCAGCGGAGAGTCGGCGTGTTGCAGCTACGTGGCAATGCGTTTGCGGCACCACTTTTAACTAGTTTTTCCTAGCCACCAATTGCAACAGATGTGACCAAGAACGCGGCCATACGCAACCAGCGCATTTGGAGTGTTGTGTGTTGTTGTGGTTGTTGTTGGCATGCGACCAAACGGTTCGCCGCCTTTGGGGTCCTTGCTGTGGCATGTTTTTACGCAATTTAGGCAACGTCGGCGGTGAATTTGTGTTGCGTGGCGGCGGCCACTGAACGTTCGCTGCTATTTCTAGTGTTAGTTGCGTTGTGATTGTTGTTGTTGTGCTGGCGATCGTTGTTGCTCGCAATGAATGCCATTGCCACGGTCGCCGGTTGTGCCACAGCAATTGCAATAAATAATCGTTGAATGTCGATGTTGCAACAGCGGCAGCGGCAGCAAAAACTGCAGTTCTCTAGTGTTTGTGTATGTGTGTGCCAGTCCATTGCACCACAGCCAGGCTGAAGATGAGGCTGCGCGCGGCAGCAATGACTGCGCAAATGCGAACGCGACGGCGAACGACAACCGAAACCGATCGTGCGATAAGGTAATTGGACTATTATGTCAAAAAGTATTTGGCGTTTAAAAAATATGGCCTGACAGGTGACATTTCTCAAAAGGCGCGGAAGAAAACGGTTTAAAAATAATATACATACATACATAAATAAAAATAAAAATTTTTCAAGCGTAAAAAAATTGCAAAAATAAAAATTACTAAACTTAAATATATTTGTATGTGTGTGTGCCTATAAGTGCTGTTAATGCGGCTTAACAAGCGTCGACCGCTGGTCTCCACAGAACACCAGGCGTGGCAACACCTCTCATGTCACTCCAGCGTTTTGTTTCTTTGTTTTTGTCACTTTTTTGCTTAATTTTTCTTCTTGTTTTTGCGTTTTCCTTACACTTTTGCTTTCCGCACATTTGGCAATTCAATTAAAATATGAGCAATCGTAAAAAAAAATATGCAAAAATTTTAATTAATTTTATTGTTATGTGGCAGTTGCACGCCATTTAACGCTGTTGCGGCGCCCATACGGCAATATAAATTTTGCTAGCAGCAACAATAAATGTATTGAATAGTTGTTTTGGCGCACACAACAATAACACCAACAACAATACGTTGTGGCTAAACACGCTAAAATGTGATGCGAACATGCTGCTTGCCACACATGCAACATGTCGTAAAGGAAATGTTTAAAAATTTTTTAGTTATAACCGAAAAAAATGCTCTTAATGTGCACATTGTGGCATGCTGCAGGCGAAAGCGTTGTCTTAAATGGCTCATATGTTATTCACGTAGGTACAAAAAAAACCGGGAAGCCATAACAATGCTCGTACGTTTTACTTAAAGCTAAATTAAACAATTTAAGTAAATTGTTATTGGGCGAGCTTTGATGTTAATAAGAGATCCGCATATACAATAAATTATTAAGCTGTCATTTTTAAGCGCCATTT